AAAAAAAAAAAAAAAAAAAAAAAAAAACTTTGGTCCTAAGCTTCAAGGGGCTTGGCGCCAAGACAAACTGATTGGCAGTAAATCGCCAGTCATATCTAACAGTAATCACAGTGAGAACAGAGCCACAGGGAAGGAAAGCGAGACCGATCACAGACATCCAAAACACAGTCCTTGGAAAAGATGGCAATACTCCTGAATCGCCTGTCACCTTATCAGGGAACCGTTCAGGATGACGGGCCTTAAGGTGGGAGTAATCAGAATAAAAACTATCCACAGGGAAGGTGGGGCCAACCACAGACCTCAGAAGAGAAGAAATGATGGCATGCCTGTAGGCAATTCAGGATGAAGAGCGTTAAGGAGGGAGCAATCTGTCATTCTTGCTCAAAGCAAGGACTGTGGAGCCAGAGCAGCAGCCATGTAACACACAACAATGGAGTAACTCCCGGAAGCAGTTTGTGTCAAGGCTATATAACAGAGTCTTGAGATGGCAGTTATAAGAGTCAAGAGGTTGGTGTGAAATAGGCTGTGCCATAGCTCAAGCAGTTAGTTGCTGGCTTCTCACTGCGGTGGCCCGGGTTCAACCTCGGGTCTGGTCAAGTGGGATTTGGGGTGGACAAAGTGGCGCTGGAACGTGTTTTCTCCGAGTACTTTGGTTTCCCCTGCCAATCTTCATTCAACCAAATTCTCAATCATCATAATCACCCGGGGCAGGTACAATAGACCAATCACTGGCTGCCATGCCGAGTGAATCCAGTTGGACTCCACCCTCCACTAACCGAAATTTTCTTGGTGTGAAATGGCTGCCAGCCTTCAAGGGCGTGAGCCTGGGAACATCCAGTGGTGAAAACACAGCAGACTAATAAGACTTAGTACATGCTGCGCTGAACCTCACTGTAAATTAGCAATAGCATGATAGTTACTTGTAGTTATGATTTGTGCGTGTTCAATAAATCCAATAACCAATCCAAACCCTGTTAAGAGTAACATGACAGTATGTTTACATTCCCATATTGCAAATAGAAAAGTCAGCACTGCAGCACAAACATCTCAGCCATAACTTCTTTCATCTGTATTCTGACTGTGGTTCCAGTGGACCTATTTCTTGGGATTATCCTTGTACTTGTGTGTTGAGCTTGTACCTGAAATACACTTCCTTCCCAATACCCCATCTGTAACCATCTTCACATCTCATTTGACAAAAGAATTCTCCAGTTTCCACTTGTGAACATCATTCCTGAGCTCACACAACCATTATTTCTTCAACTTCCATAAATTTTCCAAATTGTGTGTCTCCAGTTGATTTAAGAATAACTGCTGTTCATTCTATAAGATTTTACTGATAAGGTTTCTTACATGCTATTTCCACTTTATTATATCAATTTTCACATTTAAGTGGTCTAGTCATGTTACTGTGTGTCAAAAACTTCACTGGGAGTGAACCCAATGAGATGGAAATGTAAGAGATGTTTTCCATGAACATCAGGATCAAAAACATGGGTCTTCTACTTATGGAAGTCAAAAGTAGTGAGACAGTAAGCACAACATATGTCCAGAAAAATCTGTTACAAAGATAAATTTCTTGTCCTTTGAGTTAAGTGTTAAAATTTACATTTCAGTTAGGACCTCTCATGCGAGATTTAATCAAAATCTATACATTCAGGTTTCAAAAGATGGAAATGACTATCGCATGACTGGACAGACTTGTTACAATGCACGTGCTTTAGAGGTGATACCAGATTCTTTACAATTCACATGCAGAAAACTGGATCATGTCCAACTTCTAATTCCACTTGCATTCACAGATGCATAAAACAAAGGAGTTTCAACAGCCTCAAGTGATTATTTCCAACACACAAATCATCCTGGAGAAATTAAAATCACTTGTGAAAAATAAGCAGAGAACTATAATACCAACTTCTTTAATGACATTTTCATCCCTTCATTTCAAACATTTTATACATCTGCAATTGTCACTTCCACTTCCACTCCAGGCTCAATGCTGATAGACGTCTGTAACAAACAGTTAAGGCTTGTACAGTGAATGTAAAATTCTGAAACCTACAATCATGTGACCTTGCTGCATGTCTTCTCATATAGTACTTATCATTAACCCTCCCCTGCCAACACTGCAACCACACATCAACATAATTCATTCAATAACACTTTCAACCACCATTCAGAGGTGGTCTAGTGGTCAGAGTTCCTGGCTACAGATCTAGAGGTCCTGGGTTCGATTCCCGGTGATACCAGATTTTCTGAGTAGTAGTGGGTCTGGAACAGGGTCCACTCAGCCTCATGAGGATAAATGAGGAACTATTTCAAGGAAACAGTGGATCCGGTCTATAAAACCGAGATTACTGGCTGTGGGGATTCATTGTACTGACCATGTTACACCCTCTATTCCCAAAATTTGGCACTAATTTCGCCGACAAGCAGCGTTCACTCAGTCAGTATAGTTCACTTGCAGACTACAGGCCACGGAGCTCATTCCCAAGTTTTGATAGATAACTAGTAAGATTCAATATGTCAACCCCATATATTATATACATACTGAAGATTCAATGATGAGCCTACTTCCTTTGTCCTGTGTCTCCTCCTACTGCACTGTGGAAATCTCATGATCAATATGAGAGAACATCCCAATTATTACAACATATAAGTACTATACACAACAATAACCAAACCAACTTCAATGAATCTAATTCTTATAACTGATGAAAATGATTTAAACAGCTCTGATGTAACTAGTTGTTTCCACTCAAGGCTGGAATCCCTAAATTTCATCAAAAGCACAGCTTGCAGCATGCTCAAGCCAAGAGTAGGGATAGTAACATATCAAACTACTTTCAAAGCAAGTGGTAGGAAAGCTGGAAAAGTAGAGTAAGGTAACTGTCTGCAGACACTAATGTAAATGAAAAAGTGTTGAGAAGATAAAGTGGACATGCAAGAAGCATCACTTTGCCATTAGCTTTGAAATATACTGAGGCTTTTAGATTGGAAGCAATATTTATTACCAAGCATGGTGACAAAAAATGTTACTGCCAGTCTTGTATACATAATGTTTGAAGGATACAATCTGCTTTACAATCTCAGAAGGACTGTGCAGATCAATAACTCTCTTGTGAATTCGCATCTGAAAGCGATCCCAAGTTTTTGAACCTTCACCACAAGGAGTTTTACGTGTGGTAATGCGGAGGATCTTTGTCGGCATTCGGACAGGTCCCTTCACACGAAGATTCTGTTTCTTTGCTCCATTGATTAAATCGGCACAAACTGAAAAGAAAACAACTTTATCATGCAAATATGTGTTCTATTAACACATCCCCACACAAGACACTATGAAAGTAAGACATGCAACAATATTATTTCATGGAACATGTTTAACCTTTAATGTACGGACTTTTAAATAGCCGGCAACCCTCTATGGGCGCAATTTAAATGGCCCTAAGTCTTTAACACTGCAGACTTTCAGAAAAAATACATATTTTCGTTCTATTCAACACAGAAATATGAACTAAAAACAGCCTGAAAGACAATGAAATTTTCTACATATACACAAAAGAGCAATTTTTACAAATGAAAATTAACTGATTATTTTGTCATGAAATGCAAAATATAATCTTTATTATATATGTTATGAAATTTCAAAGGACTTAACCATAGATTTCTTCTTCAACCTTGAGACATTGTGATTTTGTAAATATAATCACACTATATACAACAATATTTTGTTCAGACTGTACGCGAGTTTGAACTGCATCACTTCAGTTTACGATACCTCACACTCTGATGCACGTGTGCCACTTCTCGAAACAGTCCACGACATACAGCGCAACATCACACTTTTTACAATGGGAAAGGATGATCCTGCTTTTCTTAGTTAGCGAACACACACAATGTCTTTGTTTCCCTTTGGTTGGCCAGTGTTGTGAATGTTTCACCTCCAGTCAATTCAGTTGGGCCCCAGATGAACTTGGCCTCTCCTGAGAAATGCCACTGACCGTGATATTCGCCTCGTGCGATTGAAGAATCATCTTGGGGGAAAGGGGTTTCCAGCTAAATCGAATAGATTATGTTGACTGACAAAGTAACATTCTCACCTGTTAGTAACACTCGCAAAATAGTGATGCAAATTATAATACTTGTACTAGTCTAAAAGATTGCCAGTCCAACACTGATACTGAAAGTCACAGTGACAAAGATGCCTTTTACTCACAAAGTAATACTGGCTCAGTGGCTTTATCTCTCTTCCAAAACACAAAATAAAAATGATATATAAATATGACATTCTGACAATGACTTTCTAACTGATAAAGAAATATATGACAATCTGACACTGACTTCCTAACTGATAATTCGCTACTGAAAACCAATTCTTGAAAGCTCTAGAAGCACTAATCTGCAAGCACAGATGAATGAATGAGTGTATAAGGGGTGGGCCTTCTCGGCCCTTGCACCGCGACCTACACTGGTATATTGTGCTTTAGCACAGATGAATATTTACTCCTCAGTTCACAAAACAAAGCTGGGCTCTATTTGGCTGACCAGGTCATAAACAGTCATATCTAAACCAGTACCATGATAAACGATTTTGGTGTTCAGAGATAAAGAATATACCACTGACATGACCTTGCATGGGTTTGTTTCGGTTTCAAACCAAAGAACAAACTGTCATCACTCCAAAAATGAGCATGTGTCCTGCCTTATATAACATTCAGCCACAGTAGGGTGTTACTTGCTGATGTATATGCAAAAATTCGTCCGTTAATGGTTAATCACCTTAACACATGTATAAGTCAATACAGTGAAAAATTTTTGAAGCCCTTCTACTCTAGGAACCAAGGTATTTCATACTTTAGTATACAACCTTACTTAAGTCTTGTGCATGTCTAGACTACTCACTCAACTCATGAAAAGGTGTCATGACAAGATACTCGTAAATGAAAGGGATGTGAAAGGATAATGGGGGAACCAGAACAAGCATGAGGCGTTCTAAAATGGTCAAGTGAGATTAATACTGATGACAGGCAAATAAACAGAATGGAAAAATAACATGAAAGCAGGTCAAGATATGTAAGGAATAAAGTATGGCAAAAATTATTTTGCCTGTTATCTTTGACACGTTATGCTCTATTATACTCATACAACAGAATCCAAGAGCCCTAGAACTTGTGCCATGGCAACATCACTCCTAACTTAAGTGTACGACTGTCACGAAAATGATCATGAAGTGTGGTGCACAAAACGCGGTTGTTTCTTTCATTACTGATTGAATTATATGGCTAACACTTTCTATATGATCACATTTGAACATGGCGTATACCACACGCACCGAACAGGTTAATACAAAATTGATTACTACCTTTTTCTAGACTTCTAACATTTCGCGAAGTCAAAGTAATGCGGATTCGGTGAATCAGGGCTGCTTCAGTGCCAGGTTTCTCTGGATCCTTGTTGAAAGACTACAAAAACACAAAGAAGGCTTCAAAGTAAGTCCTGGTACACCTGCACGTGTTCAGTTAATACTGTAAGACAAGTGGTGTATAACATACGGCTTTACATTTCTGTCTAAATTAAAGGGAATATAAATTAATGTAAACAACTCACCATATTAAACTGTTACTCAGTTCCTGGTCGAGTTAATCAATTGCTTTGCTACAAGTTGATCAGCGCTGAACCAGCAATAGCCAACGCGCTTTACCACATGCCTTACAAAAATGGCCGAGTGGTCGAATAATAACCGGAAAACGAGAAACGACCGGAAACATCAGAAGGTCTAGACGGTGTAGAATGTTTACTGTTACAGGTGTTTGCATAACGTTGCATAAGGTGGTGTGTGCATTAATTACTGAGAA